ATGTATGACATATGTACAGAAAGCAGGAAATATGTGCATGTATGACATATGTACAGAAGGCAGGAAATATGTGCATGTATGACACATGTACAGAAGGCAGGAAATATGTGCATGTATGACATATGTACAGAAGGCAGGAAATATGTGCATGTATGACATAGATACAGAAGGCAGGAAAGAACCTGGAGTTCTTTCTTCTCTTTTTTCTTTTTTTTAATTGATTTTTGTTGAGCTTGACATTTTTCTCTGCTCCCCTCCCTTCCTCTCCCCTCCCCTTCAACCCTCTCCCAAGGTCCCCATGCTCCTAATTTACTCAGGAGATCTTGTCTTTTCCTACTACCCATGTAGATTAGATCTATGTATATCTCTCTTAGGGTCCTTATTGTTGTCTAAGAAGCTGAAGTTCTAATTGAATGCTGGTAACTGTTGTTTCAGTTTATAAAACGAGTTAAGTCAATGATGTGAATTGTCTCATTTTCCAGTTGTTCTGATACAGATTTTTCCTTCATCTTTTGTGCTACCCCTTTCCTTGCGAGGTAGTAAGTGTTCTGTAATCAGCAACTATAAAGGGGAAAATTCTTTCTGTAGATTCTACTTCAGCAGCTTGTTTTGGGTGTGAGTACACTTGTGGTTGTGATTTTAAATTGATAATCTAGAATACAGTCATAATTTCTGCAAGGAAATTTATTTCCAGTGTATATGAAAGAGTTTAACTATATCTGTATTTTGTTTGCTCTATGAAGGGCATCACAGAGACTGTTTTTTTCCTAAATATGCCTGGAAGATTATCCATTAGAGGATACATTTTTGATTTTCAGCAGAAGAAATGAGCAAATCCCTGCCCACGTTTCTTTCCTCGTCTTTCACAACCCATTTATGCGCATCCCCACTTATCATGCATATTGAGCTATTTTTGTTTTCTTTACCGTGCTTTGCTTGTTTATACTATTCCTGTGTACAGGCTGCTTCCCTTGTCCCTCACCATTAATTTGAAGTGAAATACCCCTCCCACAAAGTATTCTCATCTGTGTTTAAACTATCATAATATTTGTCACCTCACATCATAATTGATTTATCTGACATCTCGGCCATTAGCTGCTAATGCATGCTTTTGTAATTTCAGAGTATTTGACATTTGAAAAACCGTGGGGAATTAGTAAATACAACTAAACTGTTTTTTAAATGGGATTGAAAGGGAAACTGTAAAACATTTTTAGCTGGAAGAATAGTGCTGGAATCGGCTCGGGCTGGAGAGATGGCTCAGCAATTAAGAGCATTGGCTGCTCTTGAAGTGGACCTGGGTTTGATCCTCAGCACCATGGTGGCTAGCAAGCATCTGTAACTCCAGCTTCAAGGAATCCAATTCCCTTTTCTGATCTTCTTT